TCCTTGACGACACAATTGCTTTCGCTTCGCGACTTCGCGGTGCTGGTGGTCGCGTTGCTTCTGTAGATCTTCTTCCTGCTGTTCCTCATGGATTCCTCAACTTCACATTGATGTCACCTGAATGTCGACGTGGAGCAAAAGTTTGCCTACAACGGATTAAGCAGGCGCTCGGTTATGTTGAACCCGTGCTGGTCTCTGCGTAAATTTCTCTAAGGATCTAGCTTTCGAACTGCTGCCATGTCGCTGCAATTCCCATTTTGCGACATTGTGTTTAGCTTTTCGACAACGGGAAATTAAGGGTATCACTACTAATTTCTACGTATTAAGGGTATCTGATCGTAGTGTTAAACATAAGAACGAATTTTATATGTACATGCTTTGCTATTCTGCATGTGGTGATTATTTAACTTTAATAACTTTTATAGAAAGCAATGTTCACAATGTACACAATTCCAAGCTCTTCTAACTTATCTGTTGTAAGAAGAAGTTAACAAACATTCTCCACTTTGATATCCTTTTGATGCTCATGCCATCTAATAAAGTATTTCGTATTGTGCATCTTTCATACATCGATTCACTAAGCATGTCGGACATACGTTCATTTTAGCGTGTGTGCCGTTCAGGTAAAGCTTTCAACGAGCTCTTTGATCTCTGCTAAGATCAAATTACTTGCTTGATTCCGATGTCGGTATTGCATCAGTATGACATCAAGTTATTTTTTGCTATTCACTCTTGTATTGCTTCCTCGTTTAAGATCAGAGGATTATCCATGGAATACATTACTGAATCAAAATGCTCTAGGTAACTTTCTTAAAAATGAGAAGACCAAAAGAATGCTTAGAGTTTTAGCAGCAAAGAGGGACTTCTTGGCTGGGAACGAGAGACTTTATCAGCATATTTTCTCCAGCTACAATGCAAACTTGCCACCAATATACACTAAAGGTTTGAGATTTTTTGCATCAAGCTGAATCTCTTTTATAATCGATTGAAGATTTTGCAAAGTATTTTTGAGGAGGATCGAACGCTACAAACTCAGATCACTTGAATAGAAGTAGAATTCTGATTACACTAATGTATGCCAAGCTTCTGGAAGTAGTAAGTTCTTGCAAAGCTTCCGGCATTACCGCCAACTACCTGAGCAACAAAGAGACTTGAATTTAGAGCGCTCCGAGACAACTTATGACGCTTATCTTCGAGTATGCGATGGTATGTGCTACATTTATCGCACATGATCAGGGGTGGTAGTGAGCTATTCGAAACTCGAAATCAAATCTGGCGATTTATTTTGAAGTGAGGACCCAACTGCTAGTTGACTGCCGAAGTGAAACTTGCAATTCAATTAACCTCCG